CCCACCGAGGGTCTCCCTACACGCTCACCACGGCAGCGGCAGCGATTGCCTTTTACGACTGTGTTTTCTCCCTAATTAATTGGAATTCTCTCTCTCTTCTCTACTTTCAAGCAGGGGGAGCTGGAGTCTTGCCGGCCCAGCCCTGGAGGCCGGGGCAGGGATGATCCTGGCATGGGAAGGAGGATGGGGGCACCGGTGGGTACAGATTCCAAACACTGCGCAATGTAGCTGGGCTGCGGACCCACAGGGTGAAGGGCGCTTCGGGCGTCAAGTTCCTACCTTCCATCTTCCCTTGTCTCCTGGCTACAAGGAAATGGGGCCCTGGGTCCCAAACTGGTTGCGGCAGCATGGCTTCGGAATATCAGGAAGGTCCAAGGTCTAGGTTGCCCGGAGCTGAGCCGAGTTCCTCTCTGCCCAACACTACTATTAGCCCTTTTTCTTCTCCTTTCTGTCCTCCCACATTCTTTGCTCCAGTGTTGGCTGTTTTCCTTTCCTCCCAAGAGTACTTACGTAGCTCACATTTGGGCTGCCCAGTGACCTTGGGTAAGTCATAAAACCTTGTGAGCCTATGTGAAAAGAGAAAGGGTGGTCCCTGAGTCCACTTCTAAGGCTAATATTCTAGGGCTGTTTTTCTGAAGACGCGTCCGAAAGTCCCCATTGGAGGACCTAGACAAGGGAGTAAGAGGGTTTCCTTCCTCTCCATCTCGTCACTGAGGGGCAGAGCCATGTGCATTAACACAAAAGTCCTCGGGAAAATGAGGGTTTAGGGTACTATTTCTTTTTTCTTTTCTGTTTTTGTTTGTTGTTTGCTTAAATGGTGGATAAACTAATTCTCTAGAAAATTTAAGAAATTTTAATTCTTTAGAATAATTTAGAAATATTCTGATGTAAGACACCACCTCCAGAAATAAAAACGAGACGACTATCCTCCTAAGGATACCTGGCAGCTTTTGCAACTTTTCAAATTTTGTTCAGTGCACCGCCCTCTTTCGCTGGTTTTGCCCCAGGGAGCAAAGAATGGCTTGTACATTCCTCAGAGGGCACGGGGAGGGGGTGGTGGTGAAGAGAGAAGTTGGCTCTGGGTGTAACTCTGCCAACTGTCGGAGGCGGCGAAAGGAGGGTGGTCTTTTACGCGGGTTTGGGATCTGGTTACCTTTAATTCGCCTCGGAGGCAGCCTCTCTCGCTAATGGACGTCTGTCAGCGGAGGGCTCAGGTTTCCCCACTTGCCTCGGTTAGTGCAAGCAAAGGGGCAAACAGCAAAGTAGACCGCTCAGCTAGAAAGAAATATACCTGCCTCTGGAGCGAGGGAACCCGATGAGGGTGGGTGGGCACCGTGGGCTGCTCCTCAGGCCCAGGGCTTGGAACAGGAGGGTTCAAGACCCGAAGGAGGCTCCACCTTTGATAAGCCCCTTGTGGTCAGCCTTGCTTTTGCAACATCGCTTTTGCACCATCGGGAACTGGGATAGGTCTGCGACCCCTCTTACAAAAACTCATTCTTCATATGTAAAATTGAGTCATTCAAAAACAAGCCAAACACTACCAGTGCTTGGTTGTTTATCTGTCCAGAGGCCATTAAAAAGGAAGAAAAGAAAAACAAAAGGAGTAGGGGGAAGCCAGGGGAAACAAATAAACCAAACTCCTTCAGTATTTTACAGTTTATAAAACATTTTTCACTGACACTAACTCAACTAATTCTACAAGGCGACAAGTACACTTATTCCCAAGGAAATGGAGAGGCTAAAAAACAAAACAAAACAAAACAAAAAATAAGCCACTGGTCCAATGCCAATCCCTGATTGGTATGCCTTCTGCAAGGCCTCTCTTATCCCACTGCTTCCTGTCACCCCTTCTCATGAAATATAACCCCCCCACCACAACACACACACATACACTGTACTTTATGCCGAAGTTTGCACCATCACAGACACAGGTGGACTGGGTGGATGGATACATGGCTCTGGAACCCGCTTTCTTTCAGAATACATTCTGTTCAGGACAGTTTCTYGAGGGATCCACCTTAAAAAATCCAGACATACAAGCGCACCAGAGCCTTTCACGTTCTCATTACTAAGACTCTTCGTCTAAGCAGTGTAAAATAAATAACCTCAAATATTACCTTTAATTACTTCCTAGTTAATGTTTCCTCATCACTAAACTTTATGGCTTCTCAATCTTTAGGACAAACTCAACTCGAGACTCTGACTCTTCCAGGAGACAGGTGGAGGAAAGCAGTTTCTCCGAGATCCGATTTGGGAGACCCGTAACTTGTGGATGAGCTAGGCGTCAGAGCACTCAGAACCCGACAGATGAGACCTCAGGGGGATGGGGCTGAGCCCTCCCAAACAAACCCGGAAGTTTTTCATCTGTTCGCCGCCCCCTACAGGCCATGTCCGCTACTGCAGCAAGAACCTTGCTCAGCTCATGAAGTATATTTTGCTCTATCCTTAGTTCCCATTTCCCTGGACCTCTAGATCTACTCTCCATTTCCCAGGGGACTGAGTAAAGGGGTCCACTCAAGAATTCCATCTTGAAGACATTATAGGGGCCACAGGCTTCAAGAGTGAATTGATTTTCTAGAAATAGGTGCCAGAGGAAATGGAAACATGTTTAAATGTATGTGTTAGCCGAAAAGCTAAAACTCTCCCCATAAAAACCAACCTACTTCCTTCTTTTATTGCAAATAAATCTCCCCCTTTCCTTTAGTTTCTTTTCTTAAGTGGAATAAAAAGTGGAAACCAGTCGTGTTGCCTTTAAATCATAACGTGAGAGCGGATTTCAATGCCTTTTGTCGCAGGTGCCAGCGTTTGATAACATCAAACATGAGTTACACCCCCCCCATACACACACTAGACACACCAAGTGCTTCTGTTCATTATGTATGGTATTTGCATTTTCCCTTCTGCTCTAAACTGTTTTAGTTTTAAAAGCTTCAACCCCAAAGAGTTTTTCAGGGGGCTAAGGCTAGGCCTACTTTCCTGACACCTGCCAAAACTTTAAACAACCGCTGGCCGGTTAGGGGGTTTGGGTATGAGGGTCTCCTACCCTTCAAGATATAAAGGAAGGGGACCATCTCCAGGCTGTAGCTCAAGAGTGAGAGTGGCTGGAAGGAAAGTTGCCGGTGGATCTCTCCTCCTCTACACCCCGCTGCCTAATGCATCGCTGGAAAAAGCCCTGCGGATCTCAAGCGGCTGCTTGTGGCTGTGTCACGCTGCGGGCTCAGGCTCGGCCGGTATTGCTGCTATGCGCGGAAATATGAGCGAGTAATTTTATAAGTAACAAAGGATCAGAGATGGAATGAGGCCCCTGTTATCCAATGTCATTTAGAAGCCTTGGATCAGCAGCTTCTTGAGGCTAAAAGTGAATTCAAGAAGCCCTGCCTTTCCCTTTTCCCAGGGGTGTCAGCTAAATTTAGAAATAACCTCTATGTGTTTGCACAAATCATGTACCATTTGCTGTTTGTGTAAAAAACCGATTAGCCAGACACAACTGTGAAACAACTTGTTACTTTTATAGCTGCAACACACAAACAAATTTAGATCCGTTTAGTTTTCCTTGTAAAAGGAGATTAGATGAGACCCGCCCCAAGACCGTGCGGTCCCTATTCTCGTCTACGTGAAGGTTACTTTTGCTCCACTGGCGGTGGTTGATGGTCGGATTCTTGTTTATTAAGTTAAACTCTCTCACCCCCTGCAGCTTGTTTTATTTTTGGACCCTGATCCCGAAGGAATGTTTACTCAGGACAAAATAACGTTTACCGTTTACCAGGAAAACAGATTCGGGTATTTGCGAGGAAGTGCCTTTTAAAGCGACCCACTAGCCCACGCCCGCCGAGGAAAAACAAGGCTCGGATCCGCGGTGTGGAGGCATCTCCACCATCTGGGCGGCGAAGTGGACAACAGCGCCAGAGACTGGCCGGGTTTTATTAACAGGACGCTCCCAGGGCCGAGCTGACAGTGCTGCCACCCGCTCCAGTAAAAGAGATTGCGCATAAGTAATTGTAACAGCTAAATTAATTACAAAATAATTAGAATTGATGCCGTTTGAGGGTATGCCGAAGGTGGCGGAAACCGGTCTCCTGCGTCAAGATGTTTCTACCTTAATACTTTTTAAAAGAAAGACAGCTGAAATGCACATTAAAAATAATCTACGAAGGCATTCCCCATTATTACACTACGATCTCGCATTTCACACTAACCTAGACTAAGGTAAAAGAAAAAAAGGGGGAGGGGTGATGTGCACCTGTTTTTAAAAGGGTATTAATGGTGTTTCGTTGCCTTGAGAAAGGCTTCGGGTTGGACGGAAAGAAAGCATCTATAGGAATCCTTCAGAAATCCAATTATCATGTGGATGGATTAGTGCCAGAGAAAAGGGATATCTTATTTGAAAATATTATGAAAGAATAAAACAACTATGTATTATCTATCAGGTTAATATAGATAATACCATCCCACTGCAAAATTTAAAATGCCATCACATAAATTAAAAAAAAAATCAATTGAGTTTATTTAGCACTTCCACTTAAGGAATAAAAAAGGAATTTCAAAATCTGAATTAAAAGCTAAAATCAGGGAAGTTTGGAATTTGCTTACTTTTGAAAGGATAATTAAAATGACTAAAAACTCATGAGATGTTTTCATTGTCTTAAAAACTTCATTGGTTTTTCTTAAGACTGCTGTTGTTTAGAATTAGGTGTGTGTGTTTTCTTAAATGACAGCTTACTTTACATAACTGTCTGGTTATTTAGATTTAATGGATTGGTATGAAGGAGATCATCTCCTGCATCCTGGTTTTTGGTGAAAACTAAAGGAAAAAACATTAATGATTTAAATTAGGTATACTTTTTCTTCAATTAAAATGTTCTTACACTCAAATTGTGAATTGTCAAAGTTTGAAAAGGTCATTACTTGAAACTCCTTAATTTTCTGGGGAAGATAAAATGCAAATTCCATTTTAAAATCTTGTCATTTACTTCAGACACCTAAATAAAACACTATGTTGAGCATTTTAAAAATTTATTTACAAAGTTGTGTACAACACGATGGAATAACATTTAGAATACCATATATATTCATTCATATATAAACAGACTTTTATAATAGAATGACACTTCGCCTTTTTGAAAATTTTGTATTTAAAATCTCCCAACGTCTCTATACATTTTCTCAGATAAAACTGCGGAGAGTGAACCTTCAAAAAAAATGAAAGTTCAGAGCTCTAAATCTACTGAATTTGTTTTTTTCTTAAAAAAATAAAAACCCCAAAAGGAAAGTCAATAATTTTTATACAAATATGTACAAAGAATTTCCCTCCACCCCTACGATACTGAGAACAGGCGCCGTCGGGGTGCATTTTTGGAAAATTCGGTTATTGGTTTTACCTGTATGGAAAGCTATTCCCGGCGGGCGCGCGGTGAGTTTGCTCGGTCAGCTTAGGTGTGCGTGAGGGGATGGAGGCCGCGGAAGGTCGGTGTTGGGGGATCGGGGTAGGGGTTGGATATGGCCGAGTCCAGGATTAGGCAGGGGGACCGGGACCGGGGCAGAGCGCGCAGCCGGGAAATGCACACGCTGCCTGAGGCTGCCGACCGGCCTGCGCCCCGGCCACCGGCGCGTCCCTATTGCGCTGGCCATTTGGCTTGAGCGGCGGCGGCAGCGGCGGCGGCGGCGGAGGCTGCAGGCTGCAGGAACTGTCCAGAGAGCGGCACGCTCAGAATGGGCGCGATGGTAGCAGTCGTCCGGCTCAGCGACAGCGGCTGGTGCGTGGCCATGAGCGCCGCCGACTGCACGGTCCCGGGCGGCCGCAAGAAAGATTGTGCCGTGCCGCCGCCCCCGCTACCCCCAGCCCCCCCAGTGCCACTGGCACCGCCAGCGCTCCCGGCCGAGCCGCCCGGCGCCGCGGGGCCCCCTCCGATGATATTCTCGATGCTGAACGACGGCCGCGCGCTGGGCTCAGACTTGATGAGCGACGTGGTGCCCGCCGCGCCCGCCGTGCCCGCGGCAGCCGCGGCCGCGCCTAGGCTATTAAGCTGGAGCTGCAGGCCCGGGCCGAGCTGCGAACCGAAGGCGGCCGCTTTTCGGCCCAGCTCGCTCGAGGGCAGCAAGGGCACGGCGGGCGGCAGCACGGGCGCCACTGGCGGCAGGGCATATGGGTACTGGAGCGCTGCGGCCGCTGCTGCAGCTGCTGCAGCCGCTGGATGCGAGTAGGCACCGGCTGCGGCCGCTGGGTGCAGGCCGTAGGGGCGGCCGTAAGGTCCCGCGGCGCCTGCCGCTGCCGCCAAGCTGTAAGCGCCGAAGCTCTGCATCATGAGCGCCGTCTGCTCGCGCAGGTGTTCCTGCTGGTGGCGCTTGAAGCGTTTCCGGCGCCGCAGGAAGCTGCCGTTGTCGAACATATCCTCGGACTGCGGGTCCAGGGTCCAGTAGTTGCCCTTGCCTGGGTTGCCCGGCTCGCGGGGGATCTTGACGAAGCAGTCATTAAGTGAGAGGTTGTGGCGGATGCTGTTCTGCCAGGCGGGGAACTTCTCCCGATAGTAGGGGAAGCGATTGCTGATGAACTCACAGATGCCACTCAGGGTCAGCTTCTTCTGCGGGCTCTGCAGGATGGCCATCGTGATGAGCGCGATGTACGAGTAGGGTGGCTTCACCAGGCTGTTCTTGGGCTTGCTTGGAGTCAGGCCGCCAGCCGCACCGCTACCCGCGCCGGGCCCGCTACCGCTCGTGCCGCCCTCTTCGCCACCCTTGCAGCCGTCCGCCTCCGGCGCTCCCGCCTCGCTCGCAGGCCCGGCCCCGGCCCCGGCTCCTGCCGCCTCCTTGGGCAATACCAGRGGCTGCTGGTGGGGCGGCTGAGACTGCCCGTGATGGGGTGTCACCGGAGGCACCTCGTCCGCCTCGTCCAGGCGCAGATCCGGCGGCCCCGCAGGGCTATCGCAACCCGCGTCGCTGTCCTTCTCCTCCAGCCCGTCGTCACCCTCGCCCACCACATCGATGTCCACGTCCTCGGCCGTCAGCACCGTCTGGCCGGACATATCGCTGGCGCTGCCGCCGCCGGAGAGGGTCATCCCTCCTCGGGGTTGGTTGCGGCGGCCGGGAGGGAGCAGAGGGCGATGGGGGTTGTTAGGGACTGCTAAGGAACTCAGGGGAAGGGGATTTGGGCGCCCCCGAAAGACTGGGGGCAGGGAGAGGGGAGGGGGGCGCAGGTGGCTCGGGGCCCTCCTGGCTCGGCTCACACTCGGAGGCCCGGCATCTCGCTGCACGGGCGCTGATGTCCGCCCCCCGTCGCCGCGCTCCTCGAACTCCTGCGGTCCCTGGCGCTCGCTACTAGGCGTTAGCTACCCGCTCACGGCTGGGGAGGCTGCTTCACGCCGCGCCCCCTTACTTCGCCCGCCTTCCTCGGCCTCTGGCCGGGCTGTGGGGCACAAGAGCTGTTCAGGCGGGCRCGGGACGCCGGGCGCCAAGCAGCTCGGGAGGGCGCTGGCAGGGGCAATCGAAGAGGGGGGGTGGTGTCAGGGACGCCGAAGCCCCGGTAGTCGAAAGTCCCGTTTTAAGGACTGGCCTGATAGATTACTTTCTACTTAAAGATCCAGCGGGAGGCGGGGCCACGTGACCACGCGTGACGTCAGGGCCGCCGCGGAGCCGGCCAAACTCAAGTTGGTTCTGGGAATTGTCAACAAAGGGACGAGAGACTCGCAACTCCGCACCGCACCACGCGCCCAGCATCCAGCCGGCCCCGAGGGCGCTCCGGCCCGCCTGGAGACCCCTGCCCAGGCTGGATCCCGGCGCGGGGGTCCAGTGAGGGTGTGAGTGTGGGTGGGTGGGAGTGAGGGCGTGGGCCTAAGAGTGTCCGAGGGACYGTGCGGCTCCCGCTGCCCTGCCTTCCCCGCCCTTTATCCTTTCCTCCTCCCCTCCCCCCGGTTGCTAACACTCCTTGGACAGAGACTGGCAATGTAGAAGAAGCCTGCCATCCCATTTTTAAAGAAGAAAAACTTATTTGTCTCTGTTTTGTTTATTGTTTTCTCTCTAAAGACTAAAGGCAACGCACCGGGCTCCCACTTGCTAATTAGACTTAAGACCCCCCTCCAGCTTCGGAACTCATTCCGAGAGAAGACACCTGCTGAGGTGTCTTTTTTTTTTTTTTTTCCTCCCCTCTCCTCTCCCTAAACCTAACCACTTGGGGCCGTCCCTGGCTTTCCTGGCTGGACACGGGCGTGTTTTTCTATGTATGTATATACATATTTTCTCGTGGTTACAGCAGCATTAGCTGGGGCTTACTCAGGTTAGAAGATAGCTATCGATTAATCTATTAGAATAGTTGCGGAAAGAAATAAAAACGACGTGAAACAACAGGGAACTTACAAATAAAGAAGCCGTAACTGGCTGCTTGGAGTTGTTAAACGATTTAGCATATGAAAAAGTCGGAAATGAGGAGCTGGGGAAGGAGCTGGTATTGGCCGAGGCCTGGGTAAGTCAAATGGAACTGGGAAAAGGCCTTGGGCCTCTAGGTTAGACGCCGCGCCCGGGCCCCGATCGCTGTAGAATCGGGCCGGTAGCAAACAGCGACTTTGTGGGCGGTGGGCACGGCCTCCTGGGACCCCGGTGGCCTCTGGCATGCGGGTGGACTGGGCTCTCTTTTGCTGCTACCTAACATGGATTTTCTCTTAAAGCATAGGCAAATGCTCCAAGATTTAAGTTCCGCGGAAACCAGCGACAAAGCCATTGAAGGAGGCGGTGAGAATGTGGCCAGTATACACACGGAGTTTCTCTGGCAAAGAAAGTCAGTGATGGTAAGAAAGACGGCGGGGATTCCGACCTGGAGAAGGGGTGGGGACCCCAAATTGACCCAGGTGCGTGGCGTTGCTGGGGCGCATGGACCTCACACCTCCAAGGGGAATCAGTGCTCCTGACTCGGTGAATCCACCATGAGGTCTTTCTCTGGCATTAGCGCCTTTCCGGGGTGGAGAGTTTAGGGAACCCAAGACGTGTCTGTCGGCAGAAGGCCTGGAAGGGGAGGGCCAGCTTCACCAGAGGAAAGAGGGGAGAAGGTCTGAGAGAAAAGAATTAGTGAAATATTTACAGAAGACACTAGGAAACTGAGTTAATTCCTGGTAGAAAGTGGTGCTTCTGATTCTGTCTCCCCGTCTACCACCACCTCTTTCTCTGGCATATCAAATAAGTAAATAAAATGAAAACTAAAAATCTGTAAATTTGCTTCATTGCAGGCATCGCGACACACAGATTGACTTTCATCTCGGTTAGACAGTTCYCTTGGATTTAACACTAGCTCTTTGGATCCCTAATTCGCAGAACGTTCCGATTGGGGATAGGGACAGGTTTGGGGCAGTGACTGTCCTGAGACTCCCTCCAACCTCCAAGGCCTTTCGGTTTCTATGTGATCTCCGTAACCCTAAAACGCATTTGAGTTCATTTCCGCAGCTGCATCGTTTTGTGGCCCGCAGGCTCGGAACCGTTTTACAATGCCGTCTAGACAGTCTACCACGAAATCAACACGAGCTGCGAGCTAGCTGCCCATCACCCCAGGCTTCAGAGGTCGAGGTTGCAACTGCCCGAGCAACCTAAAGGAAGGTCCTAAAGGGGGTGAGGTTGGGCAAAACAAAACTGAAATTTAAAAATGTAGAAACTCCTTTTGCCCATCTTGGGTCGCTCAGCTCCAGAGGCAAGCTCTGGGCACCACACGGGTCCCACTGCGGCCTGGGTGGCTGGCCTGCAAGGTACATGGGTGCGTATGCACTGGAGAGGATGAGGACTCCAGGGCTGCCCTCACTGGTCATTCTGAAGTGATCTCCTAATGAACCTAATTTCGATTCCACTGCCGGCCCGAGCTGGCTCTCGGGACTTCCTACACGAGGTTGATTGCAGCTTCTCACCCTCCCTCTGCCAAGGCCGGGTCTGAGCTGTCCATTCTCTTGTGTCTCCTTGGAAGCTCCCTGGAGAAAGGGGGTGGTGAACAACTCCCAGCTGCCGGTTCCATTTGTTGCGCTTTTTTCCTTCGACACAATAAAAGTCAAATTAATTGATTCATACCATTAATTACGGTGCGTAGCGTGAAAAGCGACGCTTCCCCTCGGTTAGAGATCTATTGTGCTAATCTCTTGTTCAATCAGTGTTACCATCTGATGCTGGGTCCAGCCCTTACAGAAACTTTTCGCGTCGATTAGCTAAATGATGAGATGAGACGTGCAGGACCTACTGGCTGCTGCCCCGACGTCCCGCGCCGGTGCCGGCCTAACCGCTTAATATCGATTTCCTGCGGAGGCAGCGGATTTTTTCCGCGGCCAATCTCAGCTTGGGAACTGGCTGCTGGTTTCCTCCTTCCGGGAGAACGGTAGTGTCCGCACAACCTCCCGGCGCGGGAAGGAGGGGAAGCGGCAATCAGCGCAGGTGGGAGGCAGGAAGGTTCCTGTTGCCCCAGCCGCGGGGGATCGCGCGGCCAAGAGGGCCTGAACCCGACCGCGTGCAGGATCCTATCCGAAGAGCCCAGATTCTGACCTAAATAGTTTGCCGATTAATTGCAGTTTGCAGTTTAAAAACCCACAAGTCGTCAGTTCCCTCCAAACTTTAGGATAGGGATAGAAGAAGCGAGGTGAAGAAAAGAAAGTAAGACATAGTGAGGGGGAGAAAAATGTAATATAAAGAACGGAAACGGGGAGGGGGCGTGGATAAACGTCGTCTGAGTCTCGAAGGGTTATTGGGGGGTCACATGAAGATCGAGTATTTTCAGGCACACGATTATGAGTGAGAGTGACTACTTGGGTCACAACAAGCAAACTTCCCAGCAGATATTTAAAGAGGAAGATGGCAGCCAGCGGTCTCAGCTACTCAAGTATTTGAAACGATTCAGCCAAAGGAAAGTGGTATGCAACTCCTTTGGTTTCTCCTAGGGGCAGGCTGAGTGTGTAGTACTAGGCTGGGGAAACCGCTGGGATAGGCCCCGCGGCGGAGGTGGTGGGGGTAGGTTCTAGCAACAGGAGGCTGGAAGAGTGGAGTCAGGATCAATAGGAAGAAAATTGAGACGTCTCCAGGGGAGGGGAGATTTAGTGTGTGTGTCCTGGAAGAGGGTGGTGGTGGGGGAAAGGGTATGGTACAATTTATGACGGAGAAAGGGAAAATTAATTACAGCTCAATTTGGGTTCTCAAGTGGTCAACACAGGAGGAGGGGCAAGGCCACAGGGTGCGGAGGCGGGAATGGCCCACCTACCCATCAGCAGGCCCAAGAACCCAGGTGCCCTCTTTCTCTTCCTTTATGTCAGAGACTGTTGATGCCTTGACTAAATCGTTGAGGCTACCTGAGATAGAATTATCATTGCTGTGTGCTGATGATACACTTTTCTTACAATCCGGGAAGATGGGACCAGGTTCTAAGGAGTAAGGGACTCATCTCCCATCAAGGGCAGCTATCCCCTCTTGTGGAGGAAACAAAATGTGGGTGGAGCCATTTGGAAAATACCCCATCTTTTCCTCCCCTAGCCACCCCAAACTTGAGTCTGTTCCTTCTCAACAATCTAAACTATTATCTATCTCTTTGGATGACTGCCACCATGGAAGGTGGGAAGGATAGAGGGAATACATGGGGCCCCAACCCACTCAGACTATTTCCATTTCTCAGTGGGTGGGATTTTTCAAATCACTTCTCTGCACCACCTCCCTTGTATACCTCTCCAGATTATCTTGGGTGGGGGGATATTTAACGTTTTTGCTTCTATTTGCATCTCAAAACTTCATTTATTTTCAGTGTCTGCCACTCAGAGTCCACGCCAAGGAGTGCCTGTAAATGGCAAGAGACCAAAAGGAAAGGAGAAGAGAAAGGGAGAGAGAGAGGATGGTTTTGAATTTATTTATATTGGAAATGTATAAACATCCATTCTGTAAAAGGCAACACGTTTAATTAACGATGAGAGAGCAGTTAGGGGCAGAAAGCTAGTAAAATTGTGTGATAAATTTATGGCATTGTTAGCGTGCTTTTAATTATGGCTATTATGTTAATTATTTCACATTAGCATGGAGTTATCAGCAGCATGTCAGATTTAATCAAAACGAGCCTTTCTCTCGAAAATTGTTCTTTTCATCCGCGAGGAGAAAGGTCCTGGGCAGGATCGGGGCTTAAAAATGACTTGGCATTGAAAGCTCCAGGCTTTCTGACACTGTTGGGTCCGATGCGGCGGGGCCTGGCAGTCCGCTGGGTCCCTCCAGGCTACCGGCAGCACACGGAGGAGCTGAGGGCTGGGTTTTTAGGAATTCACCATTTTCACCCCCTTCCGAGCCGACACTTCATCATGCAGGATCATTCTGTCAAACAATATGATGCTGCTCATTTTTATCTGTCCCGCTTTACAAAATCCCCATTCAGCCGGCCGAGGAGCAACAAAAGCCTCGTAGCAGCTCGGCGGCCGCTGGCGGTCACAGCCTCCATCAAACGCAAGAAAAGGCCAGAGGGGGCCGAGGAAAGCAAGAGGCGAGCGCGAGC